GCTCAGAGAGTGGCAGAGGGGAGAGGATGAAGAAGAAGACAAAGAAAAAAGGGGGAACAGAGGATCAGAAAGGCGTAAATAAGTGGGGAAAAAAATAATAATAATACAGAAAATGAAATGCCATTCAACCAATTGACGAGAGGCTTCACAGTAGCACGTGGAATACTGACTCTTCTTCTTTCTCTATGCCCTTTTTCTTCTTCTTTTTTTTTTATTTATTTAATACTATGCTATTTCTATCCTTATATACACACTTATTGTCATAGTGTATTTTTTTACTTTTGTTCATTTTTTATGTGTATTTAGTTGATTTTAATCTCTGTATTTTTAAGAATATTGTGTGTGGTCTAAGTATTTTTGGAAAATGTAATTTTGGTCTCTGTCTACAAAATTTCAATACTAATGCTATTTCAATAAATTTTGTGAGTGGGAATGTAGTGTTAAAATTGTGATTAGAAAAAATGAAATGTATGGATTATAGTGGTCAATTTTTTAAGTGTGTGGACAAGGTAAGTTTTTAAAATACATTGATTAAAATAAATAAAATTTGAAAATACATATACCAATTGATATTTTAAAAGTATGTGGATCAAGATGAATATAAATTAAGATAGTATTTAAACCTAAATTTTAGATTTATGTCAAGTTTTGATCTCTAAATTTCGAAAATATTTATTTTTGTCTTGAATAGTCAGATAGTTTGAGCCTTAAAAAAATAATAATTTTAAGTAAATTAATGCGTGCAAGTTTCATAGACCATAATGAACTGAACGGAAAGGTCATTTAACTTAAATCAAAATGTATAGACTAAATTGGGACTTCGAGATCTTTTGAATATATCGAACATTTTCGTAAGATATTATGGAAATCTACCAAAGTCTTCAAAAAAATTCTCGTGCTTTTCTAAGATATTCGAGGTCATTTGGAATTCTTTTCGAGTCTTGTTTTTGTTTGTTTGTTTGTTTTTTTTTACATCCGTGAATATCTAGGCCAACTTATACGCTCACCTTGACTAATCTCATAGAACAACCGTCTAACCATACAACATTTGTGCCAAGAAATACATAGGAATTACTAATTTCTAAGGTAAGTGGTCATCGTGAGTCTTGTGAAAATCTTATACTCTTTAGAGATATTTATATTTGTCTAATTTAACTAAAAAACACTATAAATATGTATATTTTCCAACTTTAGCCTAAAAAGTTTCATTAGCATCTTATTTATTTGTATTCCATTAGGATATTAATTAATATCATTTCTACTCCACATATTATACTATACTTAAAAGAGAACGATGGATCTATCATCTTGATATGACCCACAAATAAAACACGCGATCAAAATTTAAGATTTTGAAACTTATATACAAATAAACTCGAAAAATGAAGGGATAAAAATGGTATTTAACGTAAAATATGAAATAAACAGTGTTATGAGGTATCTGAGTTGGTCAAAGACGAGGCTGAATATATTAAAGAATAAGCGGTGAAAAGCCAAAACACAGCCAATTAAATATTTGCACATTTCTGCTACGTTTCCCCCGAAGGCCAAGCATCTTACAGAGAAGGCCAATTTTCCAATTCCCTCTTTCATTTTTTTAATATTCATACGTGTCCTTTTTTAATTGCTTCTCTTTTTTAGATCCAATTTATTGCCTTGGACCACGCCCTCCAAACCCCTCCACGTGTCACCCCTTTTTTGTTTCTATTTCCCATATTAAACAATTTATTACTTTATGCTGCCCTTGGATTTAATTAATATTTCCTTTCCCACTTCTTATTCTCGCTTTATCACTTATTTTATTTGGAGTTTTATTTTTTATTTCACGATATTTTTAGTTCAACAACGTATAAGGGTATATAGCCTTTTTATCGAAGATATATATTTTATTGTTGCGTGATTTTTATCGAGTTGACACGTTGGCAAGCTATCTACGGTGGACTCTGACAAGGTCTTTGATGGTAGCTGCAAACATAACTTTTGCACCAAGTTGAGGTTCACCAGGTTGGAGACCATCTGAGCTTTGCTTACTTCATTGTTAGTCTTTCCTCCTCGTATTTGGAGTGTCCAAGTTGAGGTTCGGACATACATGCCCAAGCGAGAGAGGGCCATGTGTTGTGCTTGATCACTCCATAACATATCTTAACTAGTTGACTTTCTTTTTTACAAGTTACTTTAGGTATTTCATACTTTTAATTTATCATTCCACTCGTTACTCACTTTAAGTTTTATGTTGTGTTAACTTAACAAATTTTTTTTTTTGTATTTTTATTCTAATCAACATTTAAATAATAGCATAAATCATTGAGTGTATAACCCATCTAATTATGGCCAAACCGAGCATAGCTCAAATGGTTAAAGCACCTATATTTGACCAAAAGGTCATGAGTTCAAATCCTCACCCCCACATGTTGTACTAAAAAAACCATCTAATTATGGTATTAGTAGCCCATCGCATAAGTCATCAATTGAAATATTTACCTTTGAATTATAATATTATTAAAAAAAAGTTGTACTAACAAAAAATATTAAAAAAAGTCAATAATTTATGACTATTTTTAAAACATTGAGTTAAAATACCAAAACATAAAAATGAAGTAAGCCAAAGTGAAAAAGATACAAACAGGAAATTTATACAAGCATTTGACTCGTACCTTTGATTTGTACAATCCAAAATTAGGAAAAGTTGAGATTACATTTGGTATTTATGACTCTAATTAAACCAATTTTACAAAATTGTCAATTTAATAAACTCAAATTACACAAACTAACCATCCCTCGATTTATATAAAAAAACAATTTAAACAATCTGTATAAATTTAAGAAATTTAAACTCTAAAACAATAAGAATTCGAACAAATATCTCTCTATATATTTGGCGATGTAGTTGTGGCCCATGTCGCATAGATGGGCAATTCACTATAAAAATGGAATAAAATCACTTATTTTTCAACCTTCACGCTTTCCTAATTAATAAATATCAAGGGAGATCGATAATATATAAAAAAAATTATTATTATTATTTTTACTGGGAAATTGATTCCTGGTATTCTAATTTCCACCGTTGGATCGGCCATCACATTGAGATCTTCGCTTACTTTGTTTTCTTATTCCACCCCCTTCGCCTCTGGAGCGTGGTGCCCCTCCACCTCAACGGTTGCATTGGATTTCATATTTTATTTATTGGTTTAAAAGTTTTTATGATATTTTTAATGGCCGGGATAAAACTATTTTAAATTTTAAATAATATATACTAAATAATAAAAATCATCAACTAAATTGTTATGAAAGTATGGAAATTAAAAATCTATTTCGTAATATTTTTCGTTTCTAATTTTATTATATTTTAGAAATATTATCAAAATTGTATATAAATTTTGGAAATAACAAAAACACGTCTCTGATTTATTGATCCGTTTCCATTTTGTTACAAAATAAATAATTTTATCATTTTGTGTTAGGGTTATGCAATTCTATATTTTTCTTATAAAAAAATGAGGAAATAGAAACAAAAACTTGAGATCAGAGTTTCGTAAATTTTAACATATTTATATTTATTGTTTCATATTTTAAAATAAACTATTTCTAAAAAGAAATGAATTTGCAGAAACTGACGCGCTGAGAATTGGGCCACCAAGGAGTTTTATTTCAGGCCCAAAGATGTACAGAGAAGGCAGTTATGGGCCGGCTCGGGAAAGTATAATGGGCTTAGCTCTGGGCCCAATTATGCTGAGCGACGAAGAGTTCGAGATGAGTACTATCTTCACAAGCCTGGGTACTCCTGTAAACTCACACCAGGTTAGGCGCCACTGATCCTCGCAGCAGACAGCTCCCGCGCGTTCAGCTCCGCCGTGGTGCTAATCGGAATCGGAGCTCCGTCGGAGAACCGACCATTTTCTGGCCGTAGAAGGAGGAGAAGATGCCAGGCCCCGCCTTAGAGATGGAGCCAGTAGAGCCGCAGTCCTTGAAGAAGCTAAGCTTCAAATCTCTCAAAAGAGCCCTAGACCTTTTCTCTCCTGTTCACGGCCATGTCGCTCCTCCCGACTCTGAGAGGTATGCTAATGGCTTTAATTCGTTTCTCAGCTTCGTAGTTTTGTAAGTTTACTGTAAAAGTTCATTGTGTGTGTGTGTGTGTCTATGTTTTGTTCTGTTTGATTGATTTTTTCTTCTTTAGATTTTTATTTCTGGTGCTCTAAAAGCCTGGAAGTTCTAACGGACTGATCCATGCGTTTTCTCCGTGTCTTTTCTGAATGCAGTAAAAAAATTCGCATCAGTCACAAGGTTAGTTAATTTCTTGCTTACATGATTTAAGCCATTGAATACGAACAGCGTTTGGAGTACTCGGTTGTTATTTTGAGCGGCATTGGAAAATTTGTTTTATGCTTTGTGAATCCTGTTTAATTCATAGATCAGTGTTGAGTATGGAGGGATAGATAACACGAGCACTAAGCCTACTGGTCAAGCAAGTTCCGCCGCTCCTGACGCTCTTGGAACTTCAGCGCCATCCAATGCCCTCGCTCTTCCTGGTATATTTATCCTTTCATTTCATCTTATATTTTTTAATAGGCTAATTCTATCCCTCCGAATTTTAATGGCCGGATTCCTGGGTAGGTTAGGGTTGGAATTTATCTGTTAAAAGGTTTGACAGGGAACGGGATTCCATAAGACTTAAGCTCGGATTTATTTATATATTTATACGGAACCCTTATTACAAAGGACCAATACTCTCGAACACACGCCCCACTAAGATCCTAACTACCAGCTTGACGTCTATAACATAAATTCCTAACGATTATCAGCTGAGGTGGTACCTTAGTTACTAACTACAGATCTGCTCTATCTTACTAACCTCAATTCTCACAAATTTATCACCAATAATTTGGTTATTGAGTTGGGTGGATCTCTCTGTAATGCAGGGCCGGACGATTCTAGAGATGCGAAGGCCACTACACATAATGCTCTGGTTATTGGTCCAACCGTGCAACCGAACGCACAGTAAGTTCTCTCTCTCAATTTCTTTCTCCACATGGAATAGTGCATACTAAAGTGAACTATAAGCTATATGCTTATACTGTTCTACATGCATCTATGTCGTGCTTATTATTTTTTTTACCAATGCTATTTGGATTTCCTTTTCTTCATATCCTCTCTTTGGGCATCTGGAGTGAAATTTCCGAAAGTTGTAGACATTTTTTCCCAACTGATGACAATTTAAAGTCATGTCTTTAAAGAGTTAGAAGAACTTATATACTTTCTGCGTAAGCATTGTGTTGAAGGAAAGAAAAGATTTTGCAAAGTGGCGGGATAAGATGGGAAGCCCTTGAGATTACCAAAATGGTTCTCTAGGAAGTGCTTTTGAGGGTTTTTTTTTCCCTTCACCTTTTGGTTGGTAGTTTTCTGTTGACGAGGTTAATTTGTTTCTTATGGAAAGTGTTCCAATTGGTTCATGTCTGTAACTACGAATAATTAATTTTGTTTTAAGCTTTTTTTTAGTGAAAAAGAGATTGGCGTTCCTGTTCATTTCATGTGAGTTTAATTTTTTCTGCTGGGTTGGGATTATTGCTAATCTTTTTATATTATTTTTTTGTTGTCAGAAATGATGGTGCTCCTCAGGGACGAAGCTCTGCTATTGTATCTGCATCTGGTTCATCTGAAAGGTTTTCTAATTTTTGTGCATTTCTTATACCCTACCTATATGTTAGTGACGGAGGAAGCATATGATGGTGCTCATTGATGTATGGAATTTAATAACTGATGATTTTTTTGTTACATTTTTTTATTTTTTGCTTCCTTCTCGTTTTTCCAGTGATCAGAGGCATATGGATGTCTGAACATATTTGATTTAGTCAATTTTAAGTGTTTTTTCACAGATCTCTCTAGATTGATGTTAGACCTCCTATTAGGAATATTTATGTACGCAGGGGCAAAGGGGGTAATCCCCCTCTTCTGACAATTAGGAGGTTGACTTGGGAAGGACCTTAGTTTTTGTCTTTTGTGTGGTCCTAGGTTGTGGGAGGGAGAATATATGTTTTGGGGCTGCCAAGGTTAGGGGCATGCTTTTGTTTTGTACTCTGTGAGAGAGACTAGTGGGGGGAGTGCAACCCTCTCGAACGGTTGCTTGTTTCTGTGTTTTGTTATCAATCTAAGCATCTAAACTGTGAGGGAGTTACCTCAAAATTGATGACTAATCCGATATTGATTTAGTGAACCTATGTAATTAGTTTTTGAGTCATCATTCATCAAGCACTACACATAGAAAGCACTTCAGTTCTTAATTTTTATATTACGTGCTCTTGATTTTTTTTTTTTTTTGAGATATATCATATCTTGAATGATTCTTTTGGCTTATGCCACTTACTTAAATCCCTCCCTCAAAAATCGAGCTTCATTCTCCGCAGTATTGGCTTTTATGCCTGCAGTTTCTTATCAACCTTTTTTAGAGTATCTGTTGGTTTTGCCTCAAATAGTTTAGCTTTTGGTCTTATAGGATGTCGACGTCTGCAATTATGGAAAGAATTCCAAGCAAGTGGCCACGTCCTGTTTGGCATGCTCCATGGAGAAATTATAGGGTTAGTTTATTGTTGCTGTTTTTTTTTCTCATTATTGTGGATATCATCAATATTTCAGCATTTATTGTAAATCAAATGAGAAAAACTGCCAAACTGGGATGAGGTTTGAAGTTTTAATCTTATGTTCCAGTATAACTTGTATATGAACATCCAGTACTCCACAATTTAACTGGTGTATATTATAGTTTTGACAATTATACTGTAGCTTTCTATTCTGAAGTTGTGATTGAAAATAACGTTGGGGCTAGAAAGTAGACTATATTTGAAAAACACTCATTACTTATGACCCCATATCATCGTGTCAATTTGTATGCCTTTTTTAATCAACTTCCTTATTGCCCATTTAACATGTCAATCCTCCATTTCATGACTTCTTGAATGTATTTTGCGCTTGATATCCACTGCTTCCTTCTCTTAAACCATCAACGCTTGTTTTTTAATTTATAGGTCATAAGCGGTCACTTAGGGTGGGTAAGATCTGTTGCTTTTGATCCCAGTAACACGTGGTTTTGTACTGGTTCAGCAGATCGCACCATAAAGGTATCTAATTTTGATGTTATTTTAATCCATTTTGGTTTGTTATAGTCCTCATTTCTAGTTTTATAGTTTTGCCCTTTGATAAATGTCAATATCTTTGAATTTTTCTGCAGATGAAACTTGGAAGAATTTATATTAGTGATAATTGTAGGAACATGTTTCTTTCTTCCTAGAATTGTGTGACACAGAATAAATCCCAAGATTGGTGTATGGTGCTGGAAATATATGGATCAAAATGTTTGGGGACAATGTTTATTATAAATTTAATATGGTTTTAAGAGATAGATGTGGAATAGTTTTATGTAAATGTATTTATAGAAATCAAAGAAAAAGACCTCCTGTTGAAATCAAAATATTCAGGAAGAGTCTTGATAAGATATCCACCCAAGCTAGATCCAAGGAGACTACAAAAGCACTCTCGTTTTGATCAAGATAAAAGAGAGAGTAGTTGCAAAATTCTGAAGAAAGAGAATGCAGCATTAAAGATACTAGTATCCTAACAATTCATGAATGGTCTTTCCTCCCTGCTAAAGGGGGGTTTTTAGATTTCTTTCGAGCCTCTCACCAGACACCAGAAAAAGCTTGGAGATGAAACTCTTCAACGTTGCTAGGAAGAACCTTATTGCAGTAAAAAAACTGAACTATTTACCTCCACAATTGATACATCAGAGGGTAGAATAGAAATAAGTGATTGGCATACTCGTCAGTCTTCTTACACTAAGCCACCAAACTGGGGAAGAGCAAACTGAGGGATGAATCCATGCTGGTTGCTTAATCCCATGTGCAACATTTGAGCTGGTTCTCCTTTCACCCTACATCTCTCACAATCAATTTTTTCTTCAATATTCATGGCATTTGGATCCCCCTCACAATCAATTTTTTCTTCAATATTCATGTTACATTTGGATCCGGATTACTTTCAAACATGGCTGTTATTTATTAACCATGTTTTTTTTTCTTTTACTCTTAAGAATGAATAAACCACCACTCAACCCAAAAGCTTAAGCTGATGGATTGGGTAAATTTAATTCATTTATATGGATTCTAACATTCCCCCTCACTTGTGGGATTGGAAAACAACATCAAGACCCAACAAGTGGAAATTATAATAAGTGGGGAGGAAACGACAATGCAGGGGTTCGAACACAGGACCTCCCGCTCTGATACCATCTTAAGAATGAATAAACCACCACTCAACCCAAAAGCTTAAGCTGATGGGTTGGGTAAATTTAATTCATTTATATGGATTCTAACATTTACCTCCACCTATATTATTATATGTGGAATCAAAATTCATTTTTAATGAGGTTTTAGGCTATGAAATGCGGTAGGACATGATAGTTAGCCCCAGTCTTGGATTCAGTGAACTTGGGGAGGTTTATAGATTTTCTGTAGGTCACAGAATAAGATTAACTGAAAATAAATGTCACATAATTATTAGAAGTATTGATGCATGGTCTGGAACTTGACATTGAAAGTTCAGTTACCTGTGATGAATTTATTGTGTATGCTGAGTCATTCCCTCTGATTGGATCTTTTCAATTTTCATCCATCAGATTTGGGATGTAGCAAGTGGGAAGTTAAAACTCACATTGACAGGTCATATTGAGCAAATACGAGGTCAGTTCGTATTCATTTATATCCTAGCATAGTTAATATTACTGTGGCTTATTGATGTTTTTGACATATATCTAAATATGTTATTTTGTCACTAGGTCTTGCTGTCAGCAACAAGCATACCTACATGTTTTCAGCTGGTGATGACAAACAAGTTAAATGCTGGGACCTGGAACAGAATAAGGTTTAAATATTTTCTTTTCATTTATTTATAGGGAGCTCAATCGTTGATATAAAATTGTGAGGAACGAATTTAATTTCTAAAAAAATTTCTATTCAGGTAATTCGTTCTTATCATGGTCATCTGAGTGGCGTTTACTGTTTGGCCCTTCATCCAACAATTGATGTTTTGCTTACTGGGGGACGTGATTCTGTCTGCCGGGTATCCAATTTTACCAGTTTGTTTGATCTATAATTTTGTGGTATCATTTAAGTGAGGTTATTTCCTTGTGAGCATTACAAGAATATATTGTTTGGTTGACACGTCATCTTTGTTCCAGGTATGGGACATCCGAAGTAAGATGCAAATTCATGCTCTCTCTGGGCACGATAACACAGTTTGCTCAGTTTTTACTCGACCCACGGTATCCTTTTCTATCTTTCTCTCCTTTCTTTTGAATATGTTGGTCATTGTAATTTATTATCAATAAACTAAACGTTTTACTCATGTAGTCTAATTTTCTTAGATCACTATTTTCTCCTTGTTCATGTAAATAACATCAGTTGCTCTTCTTTCTTGCTTGATGCCTCCCTCATTCCTGCATAATCAGGCCCTGATGAGTTTGTTATAGTGCTGGGATGATTACAAATTTTTCTAGAAATGAAAATAGTGCTGGGATTATTAGAACCGTGTTTCTTACTATTATAGTATTTGAGTATTTGCAGGATCCACAAGTTGTGACTGGCTCCCATGACACAACCATTAAGTTTTGGGATCTTAGATATGGTAATCTGATACATTTTATTCCTAAACCGTTAAGTTTTGCTTTCATTTTCATACTTCATTTCTCTGCTTTGCAGGAAAGACAATGACAACTCTAACATACCATAAGAAGTCTGTTCGAGCAATGGCACTGCATCCTAAAGAGTATGACATTGCAAAATAGTAAAGCAACATTTTTCCATATAAGTTACCAATCTCACTGCTTTACATTTTTATAATATTTATATCTTGCCCCTTCTCCAGGCACAGCTTTGCATCTGCTTCAGCTGACAACATCAAGAAATTTAACCTTCCTAGAGGGGAGTTTGTGCACAATATGCTGTGAGTTTTCTAGCAAGCTCGCGATGCATATAATTTGAAAATTAGTTGGAATTTTATCTTGTTAATACATTGCTCATAATCCCAGAAGGGGTAGCCCTGTTGTCAAGGGCATGGGGCCTTGTGGTATCAACTACCACGAGGACTTGTGTTTGAACCCTTGGGTGAACTTAATACCAAAAACCGTTGATGTCTCTCGGGTCCAAGCATTGTGTCGGTGTGGATGCGCCGAGTTATAGGGAAAAAAAGCTAAAGAGTTATGAGCAACGACACAACATATTCTGCTATACTTGAAGGAAAGCAAGAAATAATAACTTATAGAAAACATATTCTGTCATTTCTATCCTTGGATTTGTACGAGTCTCCATTTCCAACTCTAATCATGTAATGACTCTGTTAATTTTGCTGCTTGCTTATGACGAGGCGAGCCTTTTGGTAGTTTTTAACTTTTGAAGTGGGTGGGCTGTGTGGAGTTTAGTAAATCTAGAAAAAAAAGCAAATAGAAGATTGTATTCAGTTGTATCATTGTATGCGATCTTCGTGAAAGTCTTTGTTTCATATCAATTATCAGTACCTCGATAAATTCCAAGAATATTGTTCTTGTGCAAGCTTTTATTTTTTACATTTTATCTTTTTTCCTCTGCTGTAGAAGTGTTCCTCCTATTTGACAAGTGACAGATATTTTTTCATGCTTCGCAAATATATCAGTTGTCTTTGAAAGAACAAATACATAGATGTGTGTAGTACTACGAACTCCGAAATACATGACATTCCAACCCTGTGCTTCTTTTTTGCTCAGATCTCAACAGAAGACTATAATCAATGCTATGGCTGTCAATGAAGAGGGAGTTATGGTGACTGGAGGTACTATTTATTATCGTGACAACATTTTGGATGGAAATTGTTGCCGGATAAACTAAGTTCATTCTCTTTATTTTGGAACATATTAATATTTTTCTTTTCTTGGGTTCCTCGGATTTTATCTTCCCTGAGCATGGCTGGGAAAGGCTTGATTGAAGAATTTAAAAAGATATAGACTCGTGTGGTTTGTGAAGTGCAATGAACAAAGTCTCTACAGAAGAGAACTTGTTAATTAGAACTAGAAAAATGCTTGACACTTACCGCTTGTCCTCACCAGAATTGAAAAATTGAAAAATTGACAATTCATTATTTTTACAAAAAAAAAAAAAACTCTTTTTTTGCATGTCTCTTAGTCGTCAAAAAGGGTGGTGAGGAGTCAAGTATTTTCCATAGGACTAAATCATTAACATTATAAAAATTTGATGCTTGTTACGTTCATTTTATGCATTACTTAATTAACATCTACATTTTCTGATATTAAGACAATAATTTTCCTGTCGTGAAGGTGACAATGGTAGTTTATGGTTCTGGGACTGGAAGAGTGGCCATAACTTTCAGCAATCACAAACAATTGTACAGCCCGGTATGAATGTTATGATTTCTGTTCTCCTATTTATCAATTTACCCGGAACTTTTTTTTAAGTCGATGAATCCTCTATTTCAGGCTCACTGGATAGTGAAGCTGGTATCTATGCTCTCTCTTATGACATTACTGGTTCGAGGCTTATTACTTGTGAAGCAGACAAGACAATTAAAATGTGGAAAGAGGACGAAAATGCTACCCCTGAAACTCACCCCCTCAACTTCAAGCCACCAAAAGATATCCGACGTTTCTAGACCTCTGTTTCTGCGGTCAGTAATCCCTAATACGATTTTTCGAACCAATCTTCGAGATTTAGTATATGAGAATTTTGGCAGATTACATTCCCTGATAAAAGGCCTCAACATCTTTGGATCTCTCCATGTCTTTTCCCAACTTAAGCTCGTTGCTTTAATCTGTAAGTGGATTTTTCATTCATATAATGTTCTTCATGCTTGTAGTTGTAGCGAGTCGCGTCTGGGTAGCTCGGTTTCGTGCTCATTTGGGTTACTCGTACGCGTCGGGAGGTGTTATGTAGGCTTATTAAAATTGTCAAGCCAAGCCCCTGTACTTGCTAAGCCTCCTGAATAGAAATGACCTCTTAGTTTCTTTCATTGTTTGTATATATACATATAATCAATTACGTTAGTTATTTATGACTCCTTTGGAAATTAGGCCATTTTTCTAAACATAGTTGGAAGTGCACTATTACAAGGTTGAAATTTTTAGTGAATATTATCTGATCGATCACAATATTTCTATGAATGGTTGAATTTTTCAGTGAATAATGTCATTAATTTCCCCAAAATCCTGACTAATATGTATTAATTGTCTATTGGTTCATCTTTTTGACTAATATGTTTAATTCTCTCTTTACTAACGTTTTTTTTCTGACAGTTGTATTATTCAAAATATCATTTTCTAATTCATTTTTCGACGAACGATATTAGGGTAGAAAATAATGACAATGACAGGAAATATTAACTCCTTGAAATGATGATGATTATCATCTTGCCCCTCCTTTTTTCAGGGGGTGTGTGGTTCATTGGTTGAATTTGTATCGTCGACTTGGAAAATTGAGTCTTCATTAGGTATGTGAACATTGTTTATTTCATGCTAAATCTTATGAATTACGTATAAACTCGAACTATATAAATTTCGAACTTTGAAATTTACTTCTTTCACAAAATAAAAATTAACATAATGATAAACAAATTATATTATTCAAATTTTGAATTTCTAATATATGAACCAAAAATTTGGTTATTAGTAAATGGTTTAGGACTTGCAGACATGATCGGCCACGTTATGTCTCAAAATAATCTTATTTAATTGAAATAGAGGTTGCTGCTGTCGTGTTATTGTACAATTGGCTCAAATCCCAACCCTTTATTTTAGTTAAAAAAAAAAAAGTTAAAAAAACACTTCTGATCTCTATATTTTTATTGAAATAATTGTTTAGTCCATAAAATTTAATCTTTCACCTATATAAGAAGTCCTGTTCAATTGGATGGGTGCTAAATTATTACAAATTTTAAACTATAAAAATTAAATTATTACTTACTAAAATTTAAAAATTAAATTATTAAAAATTAAAAATTATAAGGAGTAAATCATTTCTATAAAAAGTTATCAGAATTTTTCTTTCTTCAATATCTCATTTTTAAGAGGCATTTCAAAACTGTGGAAATGCCCAACCAACTCAACCATATTATTAATTTTTTTGTATTTCAAGTACTCTCTCCTCGACGCCTCTTTTAGAACAAGTTGTGTTCCTCCCAAAAACTATTTTTTCTTACTATAGAATCTGTTCGAATCTTATGCCTTATTGTTATTTTTTATTATTATTATTTTTTGCTAATGTTTTAGAAGTGACGTGAGATTATTTTGATCACATTTTATTTGGGGTTGAGATTAAGTGGGGGAGGGAAATTACTCTTTTATTATTTTCTTTAGCTCCATCTCATCCTAGGACGAAGATGAGCCCACAAAAATATATAATTTACAATAATTAATTAAAAATTGCATGTGTTCGCCACAAAATCAAATCAATAAATTTTTTATACATGTATTCAAAAGTCTGAGAGATCAGCAATAATAATTATAAATTAAAAAGAAAAGGAAATTTCACTGGATACCATAAATTTAATATATATTTTTAAAAACGTTACAACTATTTATTTTTTTTGAGTTTGTCGAAGATGTGTGGATTATATGCAGGTTGTTTCATTTTCTTTTTCAAATATAACGGAAGCTTTAGTTGTTATGTTTTATATTACATTTGAGTTAGCTCCCAAGGACACTTCAGTTGACAAGTATTTGAGGTGTATTGTGATTCAGAGGTTTCAAGTTCGAATTTTCTGATGAGTTTAATATAAAAAACTTTTGATACCTCTCGAGTCAGGGAAGCAAAATCAAGACGAGCGTACTGAAAAAAATCTAGCTATATATATTTATTTATTTATTCATTTATTTGGTGTTATTTGAAAAAATGGAGGGTATATTATTACTATTTTACAAAACAATAAGTCGGATCCTATTTACTTAAAATCTCCCTTTAAAAGGAAGCGATTACACGGCGAAATTTCCATGCATGAAAGTCACCACCCCCTTCCCCTTCCTCTTCTTTCCAACACTAATTTTTTTCACTCTCTCTCTCTGAATTTTCTTGAAACTTTCAATCTCGAACCGTAATCTCTGCGTATTCAATTCTCTGCAAATTTTCTCGGGAAAGAGAGATTCATAATTTTTTTTTTTAAGATGATTTCTGAGCGAAATCAACCGAATGCGTCTTCACAGCTCGTGGCTGATCCGCCGAGGTCTCCCAGAGGTTCTTCCGGCAAATCCAGAAATCCGATCCAATACGTGCTTCGCGAGCAGCGTCTGCTCTTCGTTTTCGTCGGTGTCGCC